CATGACATGTAAATAGAGCTATGATCCATTGCTTTTTTATAAATATTTACTTTTTGAATCCTGAACATATTTTAGGTGCTTGATGACAAAAACGTACGTCGAAGATTTCGAGCCAGCAACTACCAGTCTACAACAAGGGTTAAGCCGTTCATCTGTACTATGCCCATGAGGTTGGACGAAGGCTGGAACCAGATACAGTTCAACTTGGCTGACTTCACACGAAGAGCTTACGGCACTAACTATGTTGAGACCTTAAGAGTCCAAATACATGCAAACTGCAGAATAAGAAGAGTTTATTTCTCCGACAGATTGTATTCAGAAGATGAGCTCCCAGCAGAGTTCAAATTGTTCCTTCCAATTCAAAATAAAGCCAAAGTAGCAGCAGCAACTTAAACAATTAAGTCATATTCTTGACAAAGTTTTTATTTTTAAGTTTTATTTTTATTCCCTGTTTGAATCCTGTGATTTATGCAATTTGGAAGTGTTTTACACATTTATTAAAAAAGTGCACTTATTAAATAATTTTTAATATTCAGTGAACCCAGCTTTGTCTATTAATAGTAAGTAATCATAAGACAATACGGATTTAAACTTTTCTAAATCTAAAAATCACAAGTAAATTTCATGTTTAATTTGTGCTGAGCCAAAAGGTCCTACAGGTTTTATTTCATTAAAAATCATAATATTTTTTATTTATTTAAGTAGGCAGGCACTTTTAAATTACAACAATAATGATAAATAATTTGCCATTGTTGTACACCATAGATATATAATGCATAGTATTGATTGTATTCATAAACCTCAATGTAATTCTATGAAAGACTTCAGTTAAAAATTTCTAATAGCTTCGAAAAAAAACAAGGTAAAATTACAACCAATGAGAAATTCTGAAATGTTGGAATTTAATGATTCTACATAAAAAAAAAAGTAATTGTAGCTTTTGATGATAATTTTGAAGTCTACTAATTTCTGAGCGAGTATAAGGAACTAAATACCTAATAGCTCATATGTATGTTTATAAAATATTTAAGAATTTCTTAACAAAGTTGGAAATCTGTAGTAATATATTTTGAATGATTGGGATGGCTGTTATGCTATACAATTGAACTTCATATTATGTATAACTAGCGGCCCGCTCCGGCTCCGCTCGGGTCTTTAACAAAAAATTCAACGATATTTGACGTTGTTTTATTTTTTTAAATAAAAGGCAATAATGTGTTCTTCAAAGTCGTAGTACATTATTTTATTCTATTATGAATAGTTTTCGCAGGGCACGCGAGGTAAAGAATATTTTAGGTAATTTTTTTACACCTTGGGTTACATCATTAGAGTTTTCGTAAGGATCCTTAATTTTTTTAATCGGTTCAGTAGTTTCGGAGCCTATTCAATACAAACAAACAAACAAATCTTTCCTCTTTATAATATTAGTATAGATGAGTGTCATCATTCACGCTGTGATGTCTATGCAGTAATTACTGGTAAATACTCATCACCAGATGGGTTGTGAGCTCGATAATTATTATTCATTTAATGCTTTAAAAATAAAAAGTACATGCAGATCCTCATGTCCAAATCTCATCAATAAAGAAAACGACTTTGACAACCGTATGTCTTAAGTCTCAAATTGCTGTGTGTGTGTGACTAGTTCTCAGGGAGTTCCAATCTACCATGACCTGATTGATTCAGAGATGAGGGTGCGACCAAGCTATATAATGGCAGGCCGGCGATCGGAGTCAATTTCTGTTACTACTTCGATGAAACACAAACAGAATTAGATTCCTCAGTTGTAGCATGTTCAGAATGTAGGTCGGACTTATTGGGGTGACGATATCAAATATGATATTGTGGTGACTTACACACAGGATAGCGCAGTTGTAAGTGTGAACAGCGCGAGGTGCACTACTGCAGCTTCCCTCGCGGTCATCCGCAGACCTCAGTATCCTTAGTGTGAATTTTTTAACGTTCTCGATAGCGTAAAGTTAACTCAAACTTGTATGCAGTCGGAACAGTGCCCCTAGCGGCAAACGTAGGCAGACGTTCCAACTCCATACAAAGAATTAACTGTTACGCTATCGAGAGCGTGAAAGAAGTCGCACTAAGCACACTGACCGCGAAACTCACCACATTTACTCACATACGCCTGTCTCGATCGATTAAAATATTGAATGTTGAATGTATACAGTAAATATTATCTTCTTCTGTGTCTGGACTCTCTCTTACCGTTTGCTTTGAACTATCTACCTGTGCTTGTGTTTGTTGTTTTTCTCATTTTAATCGTTTATAAAAGTATTCATGTAATAAATTGCTGTGTGTCTCAAATTGGACATAGTCATTCCGGTAACTGACCTAAAGCCCTATTGCCTGAAACAAGACTCACGCAGCAGACTCTATAATATTAACGACCGAAGTTGTGGTAAATTAATTTCACCTAATGTGTTTGCAATTGAAGCCACCTGGCGAAACTACCCTGTTTTCCATGCCGAGTAGTGCCTCGATGTCACAGAAGGAGCTTATCAGGTGGAATGTAAAGGTATCCGATGATGATCGTTGGGTATCCTAATAATAAGATACCGCAGCTGATCCCTCGATGTGAACGAGCGCAGGAGATCGAGAGGAACACGGCATAGGGGCCTTGTAAACCAAATGATAGTCCCACTTCTGCTGATGGCTAACCTCGCCATTCACCCTAAGTGTAAGTTATAATTAAGGTACTTCAGCGAAAGTTTTTCATTCGAAAAACCATGGGAGAGTGGTTCCGGAAGTGGCGCATCGACATCAACACCACGAAAAGCACAGCGGTGCTCTTCAAAAGGGGACGCTCTCCAAATACCACTTTCAGCATCCCACTCCCGACTAGGCGTGTTAACACCTCCGCCTCCGCCACTCGCCCAATCATGATGTACGCCCAACCCATACCCCCATGGCCCCAAAGGTCAAATACTTAGGCGTCACCCTCGACAGAGGGATGACATTCCGCCTCTACATAAAGACGGTACGTGACCGTGCAGCCTTCATACTAGGACGCCTCTACCCGCTGATATGCAGGCGAAGTAAATTGTCCCTTAGAAATAAGGTGACATTCTACAAAACATTCTACAAACTTGCATACGCCCCGTCATAACCTATGCAAGTGTAGTGTTCGCTCACGCGGCCCGCACTATCTTAAAATCACTCCAAACTATTCAATCCCGTTTTTTCAGGATAGCCGTCGGAACCAGTGGTTCGTCAGGAGCGTCGACCTTCATGACGACCTGGACTTAGAGTCCATCACTAAGTATCTTCAGTCGGCATCGATGCGCCACTTCAATAAAGCGGCACGACATAAGAACCCTCTCATCGTGGCCGCCGGTAACTAAATTCCCGATCCTGCGGCAGGGGCGTAGTGTGGTGGGGGCAGGGGGGCGGCTCGCCCCGGGAGGCAAATTTCACAATAAATAATAAAAATATTTATACCATTTCATAATAAGTAGGAAAAAAGTCTTTTCGCATTATAGTATGTATGAACTTGTAATAAAATCTCTTTGGCTATACTATTTGTATCTGCCTGGTTTTGGTATCATTAAAAGTTTAAATTTTAAAGAAGATAATTCCAAATTCAAATTAGGAAAATGTGTGATTTTCATATATTTTTCGTACTGTTAAGTATAGATGAGTGAATCTAATGAAGAAATTCGATACATTTTAAAATTTTACTACAAAAAAAGGGCGGCAAAATTGTATTCCGTCCATCGCGCTTCCGATCCGGTGGTAGATTCTGCGAAGCACGGCTCTTGCTAGGGCTCGTGGTAGCAACGTCGTCAGGTTTGAGCCCCGTGAGCTCACCTACTAGTTAAGGTTACGCTGAAATAGCCGCTCAAGGCTCTCAGCTTAGGTAACAGAAAAAAAAATCATTCGAGACGATTCGTAAGATATAATTAATGTTATCAATATTATTTCGGCTAACTGATCACTAAATAATCGCCTAAGCTAAAAGTATAGACTTAGGCCAACTCTATCTCTTATCAAAAATGGCGTTAAGTGACAGCAAGTCCGCTATGCTTATCACTTTAATAATTTTATTATTTTCTGCACTGAAATGTACTGCAAATGATATATTAGGATGCGGTGGATTCGTCAAAAGTCATGTCACTTTGGATTTCTCTAAAATAGAAATAGGACTGTAAGTTAACCTAAAATGATAATCAAATTAAATAACGCGTTAAAATTGAATTATTTCGCATAATTCTCTCTAATAATTATTAATCGACTTCATTAAACGAATAGATGTCAATTCCACCGTGATCATAATATTTCTCATTCAAACCAATTTATTTTTTCAAATCAGATACACGAAAGATGGGAGTCTCAAAGAAAAGACAGAATGCGCTCCTACTAATGGATACTATTTTCTACCTCTATATGAGAAGGGTGACTACGTATTGAAGGTCCACCCACCACCAGGCTGGAGCTTTGAGCCATCCACAGTTGACCTTTCTGTGGATGGTGTCACAGACAAATGTTCTGCAGGGCAGGACATAAATTTCGCCTTTAATGGTTTCGGTATAGCCGGTAAAGTAATCACCGATGGCCAAACCCAAGGTCCTGCTGACGTTGCAGTTCAACTAGTGAACAGTAACAACGAAGTCAGAAATACTGTGACTGCTGTTGGCGGTGACTTTTATTTTACTCCAGTTATCCCTGGGAAGTATACTTTGAAGGCTTCTCATCCAAAGTGAGTACTGCTAATTGTTTTAATAAATTCAACTAACCTAATCTTTAAACTAAACACAATCCTTTTTAATCTATAATAGTGCTAAACAAATTCATGTAACATAATTTTGTTATATAAAAAGATGTATAATATGAAACACTGAAATACTNGTGACTTTTATTTTACTCCAGTTATCCCTGGGAAGTATACTTTGAAGGCTTCTCATCCAAAGTGAGTACTGCTAATTGTTTTAATAAATTCAACTAACCTAATCTTTAAACTAAACACAATCCTTTTTAATCTATAATAGTGCTAAACAAATTCATGTAACATAATTTTGTTATATAAAAAGATGTATAATATGAAACAGTGAAATACTTCCTAGCTTGTAATAAACATAAACATAAACTACATTATGAATTTCAACTCATCTAATAAAAGTACAGGATACCGATTGTAGATAGTGAGGGGGGAAAAAAACTTAATAAACATAATGAACTAATGATTTCATATTTATTAATTAATTTTACGGGTATTATATCTAAAATTCTGAAAATTATGATATTTCTTCCATCACCATTGTTAGCTCTAGGTGGTGCTTCTTGTTGCTAAGGCATTCACCTATTACTCTTGTCCTCACAGTTATAAACTATCTTGTCATATCTCCAGTCACTAGGAGAGCATTGAAACTGATGGAGTCAAGTGGTGCAAATTGAGATCTATGTATTGACATTCATTTTTGTGGAAAATACATCTGAAATACTCTAAGATTAGCTTGTAACAAATGTAATGGTGTTTCATAGATATGCACAACTTGTGCTTGTATGTATGCATCATTACTTTTTCTTAATATAGTTAAATTGCTGCTTTAAGGCAATAATTTATAGCTATGGTGTCTCTGACAATTATTACTGATAGTCATCAAAAGTTTGGCACAGTCAGATAGTTTTTGTGCTTTCATTTGATCAACTGAGAAAATATATATAATGCGTTTTCAGATGGAAGTTGGAACCATCACAATCTGTAGTACAAGTGAAGGAGGGCAACACGGTGCTTCCTTTAGGAGTGCTCAAAGTGAAAGGTTATGATGTGACTGGCTCTATAATTTCTTTTGGAGAGCCTATCAGCGGTGTTTATGTGCTTTTGTATTCAAAAGAAGTAAGTGATAGTATGACAAAGGTTGTTGCAGTTTAAAAGTAAATCTTGACAACTAAATCAATTATGACAAGTAAATTATTCTAAATTCATCCAGAGAACCATGTAGTGGTTTACTTGACAAGTAAAGTATTACAAGGTTCTCTGGATGAGTTTAAATAGGCACTTTTCAATGTTTCTATATAATACTTAATACGTACAATGTCTGCTAAATATGTATTACTTATATCAAAATTATTTTGAAAGTATTTGGTATTTGTAGTATTTGAAGATTATGTGATTATTATTATTATTTATTATTTGATGCACATAATGTTTGTGATCATGGTTGTTCAGGAACATCAGAAATACATGCACAACTAAGTTGTTGTCTATTGCTGAGGTCTCTTTTCAAACCTCATTTGAAGGAAGAGAAGGACAAGTCATATTTAGCATAGAGGAAATAATTTAATCTATATTTCAACAGGAAAATCCCAAGTTTCGGGTAGAAGGTTGCAATACAGCTTTACTTCAGGGTGTCCCAGATTCACCAATTTGTCATTCTGTAACTGATGCATCAGGAGAGTTCAGATTTGGACTTGTACCCGCTGGAGAGTACAAACTTCTGGTGTTGCCCACTTCACCCGGTCAAATTGCAGTCACATACAATATTAAACCTGAATCAGTTCCATTTGTTGTTAAACACAACAGCCTCTACATCAAGAATGCTTTTGAGGTATGAGCAATACTATTTCTATTGAATGTAACCATAATAATGAATACTAATTCATTTTTCGTTGCTGAAATGGGTGGATGAGCTCGCGGCTCACCTGGTGTCAAGTGGCCACTGGAGCCTATAATAATGCCCATCAACAACGTAAATGCAGCCACCCACTTTGAGACATGATTTCCATGTCTCAGTTTTATGGTATTACTGCTGCCTCACCCTTCAAGTTGAAAAGCATTACTGCTTCACGGCAGAATTAAGAAGGGTGGTTGTACCAACCCATGCAGTTTCACAAGACGTCCTACCATCAGTCATTATGCAAATTATAATTATGAAAGTTTGATTTTTATTACCAAGTGTGGAAGTCATTCGTGAGTTAAGTACATATTTCATTAGAAAAAATGGGGCTTGAGTTCTGTGCACCAAACCACCCAATGTCCCGTACATCCACACAGTCATATCACTCGATATGAATATACCGAGTGCCTTATCCTTTATGCCACAATGACTTCAAAAGCTTGCCATAAATTGTAGAGTTAAGTGTTAATAATTTCTCAATCCCAGGTTTCAGGGTTCACGCTAATAGGAACGGCTGTAGGTTCTGTTGGCGGTAAAGGACTATCAGGAGCAAGGGTGCTACTCGATGGTAAAGCAATAGGGAATACTGATGCTGCTGGAAAATTTACCCTGGGAAATCTGAAGCCTGCAGTCTACACTGTAGGCTTGCAACATGGTAAGAATTATGATGTGAAAATAATAATGGAATAGAATTCAAATTGATCTGCTTTCATGGAATTGTTCAAAGTTAAATAAATGATGATAAAGATTGTGCTCTGTACAAAAATACAAATGTAAATAAAAGAAAAATATATCAGAAATGTACGTACATATGACAAAGGCTAATATTGTGCAATCTGATTTCTGTGGTGATAAATGGCGAAAAATACGATTTGTTAGAAAGAATAATCTTCTATTCAACTTACGTCAATCGGTCATTCCATATTACATGATATCACTTGGTGAAAGATTTTTACTGAAATTAGGTTTCCTCCATAGTTTCCTTAGGATTGATCAAGAGAGTATTTTTTGTGGTTTTCTCATTTGTCAGACATCATAATGCTTCTTTTGAACATGAGATTAAACTATAAAAGCAGTTTTAAATATTAATTTGTTTTCCTTCAGATCAATGTGAATTTGAAGATATTCAGTTAACTGTGACACCAAATGGTCCGAGCAGCACAGTCATCCTTAAAGCATCGAGATGGCGCGTCTGTGGGTCTGTGACTCCACCAGTCAAAACACTTAGAATCACGCCTGATCGTGGATCTGCTGAGGTCTTGTCTATTACTCCTGAAGAAACTGGTGAGCAATTCAAATTAATCGATAGCTATACTAATATATGTTACATGGAAAAGATTTCATAGATTGCTTCTAGTTAAGTTAATTTTAATTTATTAGCACGTTTTGTGATTATTGGCTGTGTGATTTGATGACCACATCTACAGATGTTTCATTTTGCGATATCAAAAGTAATCTTTACTAACATGAAGGTAGGCTTGTTTTGTGACATCATTTAATTTTTGTGTCAATGATTATTAATTGTATTTTGAAATTTGTTGTTTTTTAAAATCTATTACTGTTTTACGAAGTGTGAAGATAGTGGCTGTAGTTGTAATATTAATATAGGAGTATTGCAAATTTAATTGCAATTTTTATTGCAATTCTGTTGCCAAGTCGCTTCATGATATAAAATCATAGGTTCCTGGAATTAATTGGAATATAATGTTTTAAAAGGTAATTGGTGTACATACCTTCATCCTGGAGTCTACACAGCTAAGGTTGAAGTCACCGAGCAAGAACAGCGGGATGGCTTACAGTAAGTGCTTGTTTTCACACCTCTGAATTATTGCATCACTCTACCAATTGAGATGTCATCATCCACGGACGACTTAAACAAAATACATACTCCATCACAGTAGAATTCTTCTAAATACTAGCTTAAACTATGGAGATTGCTTGCATGCTCGATATGTGAAATATGTCACATGTGAGGTCGATTTGTTTTTGACACGGGAACTATTTTCATGTAATATTTTTTTTAATTTTTGCCTAGATGATTGGATGAGCTCACAGCCCACCTGGTGTTAAGTGGTTACTGGAGCCCATAGATATCTACAACGTAAATGTGCCACCCACCTTGAGACGTAAGTTCTAAGGTCTCAAGTATAGTTAAAACGGCTGCTCCACCCTTCAAACCGACACGCGTTACTGCTTCACGGCAGAAATAGGCAGGGTGGTGGTACTTACCCGTGCGGACTCTCAAGAGGGCCTACCACCAGTAATTACGCAAATTATAATTTTGCGGGTTTGATTTTTATTACACGATGTTATTCCTTCACCGTGGAAGTCGATCGTGAACATTTGTTGAGTACATATTTCGTTAGAAAAATTGTTACCCGCCTGAGATTCGAATACCGGTGCATCGCTCAACACGAACGCACCCGACGTCTTATCCTTTAGGCCACGACGACTTCAACAATGTAATGTAATAATGTTTATTTAATTTGAAGGTTTTTCCCGCTCTCTCAACAAATATCGGTTGGGAGCGCTGCCGTGGAGGGAGTGAGGTTCTCGCAGCTGAAGGGCACAGTGCGGGGCCGCATCGAGTGCCGGCAGCAGGACGAGTGCCGCTCCGTGCCCGTCACGCTGCGGGCCCGAGCCGCCGACGGCGCGCACCTCGGGGAACCCGTCACCACCCTCGCCGTCGGTATGCCCATCTCACAGACTCAACGTTTTACTAAAGTAACACTTTGTACCATCTCACAATATGAGGATGAAGGATGTAGGCTCAAGTTTAGCTCCAAATATCCTTAGAGATGATAAAAAGATGCTGAAACTGATATTGATTGTATGGATCTTGATAAATAATATATAAATCATAAGTGATGATTTTCACAAAGAAACTAGACTTATCTGGAGCAGTATGTGTGTGTTGTAAGTTGTATGGTCTCAGTACGAAGGTCACAGCTCCCGGAAGGTTTTTTATTTTTTTTATTTTCTTATTGCTTAGATGGGTGGATGAGCTCACAAACAACCTGGTGTTAAGTGGTTACTGGAGCCTATAGACATCTACAACGTAACTCTTCAAGTTGAAACGCATTAGTGCTTCATGGCGGAAATAGGCAGGGCGGTGGTACCTACCTGTGCGAATTAACAAGAGGTCCTAAGCAGTAAAGTGTAAAGACCAAGCTTCTTGTTATTGGTAAATTATAAAACTAATATTTTTATGCATTAGAAGATGTTAAACTCAATACTTCATGCCTGATGTGCAATAATTGTTGACTTTTGGAGCTTGAAAGTCGGGTGTCGAAGTCTTAATGTCTTCTAGAGTTCTAGAGTAGAGCTGTGTCGTGTGTGAACAGATGGCGAGTACACGTTCACGGACGTTGTGGCGGGGAGCGTGGAGCTGTCCGTGGGCGGCAGCAGGCTGTGCTGGCAGGAGGAGCGCCTCGTGCTGCCGCTGCTGCGGGACACCACGCGCGCGCCGCCCTTCCGGCACCTCGGCTACGTGCTGCGTCTGCACTCCTCGCACGACATCCAGGCACGTGCACTACAACTTTTGTCCGTGGACAGTACGAAGTGAACACCCTCGCTTCAAGTCTTAATTGTATTAGAACAATACTACCATCTAGTAACATAAATTATGTAATAGGTAGAAGTCGTAAACTTGTAACTTCTCATTAATACTGCCCAGTTTTGATGCCTTCAAAAATATTTTGTAAGCCAATATAAATAGTACGGTCAGCAAAAAAAGGAAAATCTGGTACAGCTTTTGTTGTTATTTAAAATGATGTGAGGTGAGAGTGTGTGGTGCGGCAGGTGGAGTACGAGAGCGCGGCGTCGAGCGGCGTGCTGCAGGTGCCGCGCGGCGCCAGCCAGGCCTGCGTGGAGGGGGCGGCGCGCTACCAGCTCACCCCCCGCGGCCCCCACCTGTTCCAGCCGCCGCGCGCGCACGCCGACACCACGGCGCAGCTCCCGCCGGTCACTATACTCCTCTACCCCCTCTCCTGACCCCACTCGACGAGCTAGTTTCTCTGCACAATACTTTGAGTAAAACCGTAGACTTACGTAAACTTACAAACTGCCAGGTTTGCTTTAAATATTTTTAGTAATTTTATGTTAATTGCATATAGTTACATGAATCAGCTCACGCCCCCCGGGGTACGATGGGTGCCGGTGTCCTTAGACATCACAACAGAAATAAATGACTAAATAATACTAAAAATCTTTGTGTTTAATCACTACCACACAGTGCTATTCCTTCATCGTGGAAGTGTTTCGTGATATGTGAGAAGTCGCGTGTCTTTATATGAAATGCTCTACGTTTTTGAAGAAATCTAAACTTAGTAGATGATCATCTAAATTAGAAAAATGTTTTTGCAGACGATACACTTCGTGGCCGTGGCGCACGCGGCGACGCTGCGGGTGACGTCACCGCTGTCGGTCGATGACCTCGTGCTGAACATCGACACGGACGAGTCCGGGGAGGAGCAGCAAGTGGGCCCCCTGACGCCCCAGGAGCAGCCCACCGGGGGGTACTCCTATGAGCACACTATTTATTTGGCAGAGGTCAGCGCTATTTACGTTATTTCTGTGTCAATATCGTTAATAGTGAACAGTTTAAATGTTGAAATTGACCTATGACCATGAACACTAACATTACCAGAGTCTTTGATTGCCTACGCTAGCAATTAAAAAACTACCGTCCCATTTAGTTGTGGCGCGAACTGCCAGTAGTTTTGTATCAGTTGGTGAAGTTGTGACAAGCCGAAGAGCCCACATTCACTACTCTGGATATATACGGGGCTTTCGGGTTATTTCGTTTACAATTTAAAATATGTTAGGTAATTAATTATCTCAGCTTGAAACTTTGTACGTTTCATTCGATTCGGTTCAGCCATTTTTTGGTGCTTGAGTAGGAAACACATAAACTTATAATATTAATGTAGATATTGCTAAGTTGCAACGGTAGGGTCGGTCCCCCCACGCCACTCGTGACGTCACAGTGAGTCGTATTGTCGCCAGGGCTCGGAGGCTCAAGTGTCGGCCTACTCCAGCCGCCTGCTGTTCTCTCCGCCGCGGGGCCGCGCGGGGGCCGGGGGGGCGCTGCTGCTGCGGGGGCGGCCCGCGCTCACCGTGGCGGGCACCACGCAGCCCCCCCTGCCGGGCGTCACCGTCACGCTCAGCGCAGGTGCGTGCCGATATTGTAATGTTGTTTTGTACATCCGATGTTATGTCTCTAATGTCGAGAGGATTGAGACATACAGAGGATCGCTCTTTGCGCCGCAGTAGAAATATTTGTTATGTTATCTGTTGTTTCTAGAGGACATGTCGCTGACGCAAGTGACGGCGGAGGACGGCACGTACAGCTTCGGGCCGCTGGACTCCAGCAAGTCGTACTCCGTGACGGCGGAGAAGGAGTCCTACGTGTTCGCGGCGCCCGACGCGGACGGCGTCATCCGCGCGCACAAGCTGGCCGAGATCGTGGTGGAGCTGGTGGACGACGCGGACGACACCCCCCTGCAGGTCGGCCCCACACTCCCCTATCGACGCCCATAGACCTCCAGAACATAAATGCAGTCACCTACCTTGAGATAAGTTCTAAGGTATCAGTTTTACAGTGCAACGGCTGCCCCCAGTGTTTTTTTACAACTTTTTTTATTTTTTATTGCTTAGATGGATGGACCAGCTCACAACCCACCTGGTGTTAAGTGGTTACTGGAGCCCTATACATCTACAACGTAAATGCGCTACCCACCTTGAGATATGAGTTCTAAGGTCTCAGTATAGTTACAACGGCTACCCCACCCTTCGAACCGAAACGCATTACTGCTTCACGGCGGAAATAGGCGGGGTGGTGGTACCTATCCGTGCGGACTCCCAAGAGGTCCTACCACCAGTGATTACGCAAATTATAATTTTGCGGGTTTGATTTTTATTACACGATGTTATTTCTTCACCGTGGAAGTCAATCGTGAAGAATTGTTGAGTACGTACTTCATTAGAAAAATTGGTACCCGCCTGCGGGATTCGAACACTGGTGTATCGCTACATACGAATGCACCGGACGTCTTATCCTTTAGGCCACGACGACTTCAAAACTACCCCATATCTACTCCATATCAGTTATTAATAGTCTCTGATATTTGTCTTTTGGTTGAGTTTTGACAGAACGGCTTTCTTTCAAAGTGGATAATAATAAATGAAAACGTAGAGTCGGTAAGCTGTAGTTGTTGGGGTGCGGTGTGCAGGAGGCGCTGGTGTCGGTGAGCGGCGGCGCGTACCGGCGCACGCAGTCGGGCGCGGCGCTGACGTTCGGTTCGCTGGCGCCGGCGCAGTACTACGTGCGGCCGCACCTCAAGGAGTACCGCTTCGCGCCGCCGCACCGCCTCGTGCTGGTGCGGGACGGCGCCGCGCACCGCGTGCAGCTGCGCGGCGTGCGCACGGCGTGGTCGTGCTGCGGGCGCGCGCGCGACGTGTCGGGGCGCGGCTGGGCGGGCGCCGGCGTGCGCGCAGTGCCGCACCACGAGCGCTGCCCCTCCGCGCACGCAGAGCACGCCACCACTGACGACGACGGCTCCTTCAGGTACTCGCCCTCCGCCTCGCATCAATAACTACATACTCGCCGACCGCACGGAGTTGTGCAGGCTTGTCGAGTAATCCAGAACGGCCACTTTTTTTCGGTCTGAGGACCGGACCTCCCATGAGTTTCTCGCGGGCGGGATACCTATAGTAGAATTATTTTGTCGGTGCAGTTTGGTTCATAAAACATAGCCCGGCTAGGGCGGTGAGCATGTAGCGCGGACGCAACGCCATTATCGATAAAAACAAATGGGTCATCGAGGGCAGGTACACGGCGGTGGGTGGAACGGTGGGTGGTTGAGGCATACGAAGGGTGATGAGTCATTGTTATGTTATGAGCCTTTTTTTTTAATATTGCCCTTGTAGGCAGTCGAGCATACGGCCCACCTGATGATGAATGGTTACCGTCGCCCATGGACTTCAGCAATGCCAGGCAGAGCCAAGCCGCTGCCTACCGCGGCTACCTTGTTGTATGTACCTTGTGTCATATGTCAAAGAGAAATGTGATTTTGTGCATTCGCTCTCTGAATTTCTTTAGTAACACAATGGCTACTCCTTTGTTTTATACCAAAACGGCAGAATTTAATCAAATATTTTGCTTGTTAGCAAAAATCAAGTGTTAAAATTTTTCACTGAAATGAGAATAGATCCCGAAAAATTACAAAGTGTTAATTTCTGCCGTTCTCGTTAACTTGCTGCGGCGATATGTGGCGTAAGTGATTTTTTAGTGTATTAGTGATTTTTTCTTTAATTTTTATCACTAGCCCACAAAATGACAAAACTAAATACACTCTCGATAACGCTTATCGACAACAATAATGCGCATCACTATGCCCGTCCATAAAGCTCGCGAGTGGAAGAGAGAGCGAAATACTCGTTTCACCGCTCCGATTATTTATAACCCAAACTGCATGGACAAAATAATTCTACTATAGATCTCGGTGCCCGAAAATGGTAAAACCTAGATAAATAATTCCGCAGGATCCGCGGCCTGCTGCCGGGCTGCACCTACACCATCGAGCTGCAAGAGTCCGACGCCCCCGAGCTGGCGGGGCTGAAGATCGTTAGAGCGCCGGCTACAATCGAGGTAATGATCCCATGTGTCTGTAACTAATTCACTCGAACAACGATTATGCGACCCGGGATCGATTGCTCTCGTTCTCAAACTCTTCAGCTTATGCCCGTTATTGTAGTTATGTTTGATGCTTAAACATCAGTGACACCTCGCAGGTGACGGACAACAAGGACATCCTGGGCGTGGAGCTGGTGGCGGTGCGGCCGCAGCGCACCACGGACGGCGCCGTGCTGGTGCGCGCCGCGCTGCCGCACTACCGCACGCTGGTGCTCAGCCTCGCCGCGTCTGCCGCGACTGCCGCGTCCGCCGCGCCCGCCCGCATCTACTCCGTCAAGCTGGACCCCGGTACTCGTGACCTGTTTATATATCCCCGGGGGGCGGACGAACAAATTGTGTAGTGATTATTGGGCGACATAAGTAATAGACTGCGTATTCAGTCACATCGGACAATATAACACAAAGGAATGGTTTCTTCACTGTATTTTGAACTGCACGCAATGTGCAGCAACAACAAGTAGCTGCAGGGCTGGCAGTGTACGTCGACGAGTGCACGGACAGACGCGTTGCAGATTGAAGGATTACTTTTATAGTCGATACAACAAGTCTACAATTATCGAAAACATCCTCCGTAGGACTGGTCGTTTCGATGTGTTTCCGTTATTTGATAATAGATGGCGTTACACTTCTCGAGGGTTCTCGATATTACTAGTTCTTTTGATATTCGTTTCTTCTATTCGATGACAGATGGCGTTACTCTTACCGGCGTAACCATACCCTCAGTATGTGTACGACATAGTGCTAGCGACAAAGTTGTAACAGTTGTAATTCCGTTCCAGCGGGCTACACGGAGGCTTCGAACCCGGGGCTCGTGTACGCGCTGCCGCGGCTGCCGGCGGACAACAGGTCGTACGTGCTGTCGCTGGAGTCCACGCTGCCGCGCGCCACGCACGCCTACGGGGACCACGTCTACCACTTCAACTCCGATGGGAACTACAAACATTTCACCATTGATTTCGTGCCGAAGGTTTGTATCTGTATGCGTTCTTGAACGCGTGTGTGTGTGAGAGAGAATATATCGATGTTGAAAGGCAAACGTCACTAAACGAAAATGCGTGAACTTTACAGTAGACTAATTTAAAGTTGAAATACCTGAAAAAAAAATCTATTTTAACGAATCTAGCTGTAGCATTGAAATGATTTTAATAGACCTAGAAATATATATTTTTTGCGCATCGAATATGGTTATTGCCCATCATTTATGTATAAAGCAGTTATTGTCGCTTAGTCACGTTTGCCTTTCAAGCGTCGATATTGATATTCGTATTATTTATAGAACACAATACCTAGTCACTTGTACCTATAGTAGAAAGTGCGGGTAGCTTAGTCATGAAGACTCTTAAATACCGTCTTAAATAGTTGTCGACATGCGTAACATTAAGGAAACAGTTAACTGTTTAGTGAACTAAATAGTGACGCCGCGCCGACATATCTTCTTAATATATTATATAAATCACGTGTCACGTTGTTTGTCCGCGATGGACTCCTAAACTACTTAACCGATTTTAAATTAAATTTGCACACCGTGTGCAGTTTGAACCAACTTGAAAGATAGGATGGTTTTTATTTCGATTAATGTTCGCAATATTTATTAATTAACAATAAAATTATTTCTTATGTTCATTTTGTTATTAATTGTAAGTTTCATAAGTCTAAAACAGAGAGCGCCTTAAATCAGTTTTTACAGACAATTGTAATCCTGTCTGACATTAATATCTCATAGATGGCGCTGTGTTAAAAATACCAACGTTTCACATAAGCTACAATTTAATGGCATAAACACCACGTGCTGCTGAGGCTAAAGTATAAGTGAAATTTATTTCGTAGTACATGCAATACAGTGAAATCCAATTGTTTTTACTTTGTCAATTTTTGGTATTAGCACAGCCGGCCGCGTGTTATTTAGAAACAAAAACCTTAGCCACAGCAACGTGTGGCCGGGTCTGCTAGTACATATATGATTTTAAATTTATTATAGTAAACTTAATTTCAAAAAACCACTCGTAACATCGCAATCTCCTATCGATGATGGTAATTGTGGTTTATTTTATTTTAAAATAAATTGAATGTGCCAGTGCGAGCCTAATTAAAAAACACCGATCTACTCACGTATAATTAATTTACTTGTCAGGTGAGAGCGTCGGAACAGGAGCTGCGGGCCAGCTCCATGCTGGCGCTGCCGCTGCTGGCGCTGCTGGCGGCGCTGTACGCCGCGCGGGCCCGCCTGCTGGACGTCGCCGCACGTGCCATGCGACGGCACCCCACGCCCACCAAGCAGCATAAGAAGAAGCTATGAGACGCCCCCCCGCCCCTCTAGGGAACCTTAATGCTTTGCCTATTTCTACCGTGAAGCAGTAATGCGTTTCGGTTTGAAGGGTGGGGCAGCCATAGTAACTATACTTGAGACCTTAGAACTTATATCTCAAGGTGGGTGGCGCATTTACGTTGTGGATGTCTATGGTTACCGGAAACCACTTAACATCAGGTGGGCTGTGAGCTCGTCCACCCATCAAAGCTATAAAAAAAAAGTCAATGAATTGAGTCATCAAACTTGAAATAACGTAGATTGGGGGGAATAAGGACTAGACAAATCTGGGCTGTCACAATGCTCTTGTGAGATTTAAATTTGTTGAATTGAAAAGGAATTTTATTTAGTGTTTATGAATTTTAAATAATTTAATTTAGTGATTAGAGTTTTGTAACTGATTAAAGATATTGAAAATTTAAGTATCTACCTAACAACTAAACAGTGCCAGCCCTATTGAAAAACTCTATTCTAACAACTAAACAGTGCCAGCCCTATTGAAAAACTCTATTGTCCCCATACGTGACCCCCAAAAGCCAAGGTGGATCAGGTCAAGCTAGTTTTTTTAAGTTTTTGTGTATATTTTTAAATTTTCAATGAATTATGTATAATAATGCATTGTATAAGAAAAACTGCTGAAAATTTGTGTTGGAATTAGAACGCGTCCCGATTCCCTCCAATTGTTTAACAATGAATTGTAATAATTTTCCTTTAACGGCACGAATCTTGTAAACTGTTACAATTTGCATGACCACTACTACGATGATACTCTGTAGCCTAGTAACGGCGGCGACTGGCGGACCGCGGCTGCGCGTCTTCATATTGCGAAGAAACAATTCATTCCGGTTTCAAAGACTTCAATTGTTTTTCTAGTACGTATCATTGTCTGAACACAATCCAACTTCATATCTCAAGCCACTCAAGTCCGTGGGCTTTAGTAGACACTAAACTAGATAGCTGTGAGATGTTCCATCCATGTATCTATACAATAAAAACATATCGAATTAGAAGTAATGTCGTGCACGTAAGATATTAGTCAACCTTAACAAAGTTACATTTTTGAAATGTATGTCCCGGACATGTTCATTTCGTGGCACATCAATGTGAGAACACTTACTGCTCTGTGTCCTCTCCGCTGTACTCTGCACGCGCACAGAGTATAGCGGAGTCATAATTGAAGACACGAGTGGATAAAGTTTTTACGTTAAATGAAGGTGTTATGTGCCTATAACCCATATTAGACCTTCAAACTCCGGATTTTATGGCTATTTTTAGAAATTGCATATGATGGAGTTATATACAAAGAAAAGGTACAAGTAACAAAAATTTGTTGCCCGTTTTCTCCAAATTAATAAATTGTATCATATCCCCTTCATCCACTCATGGTCATCCATCCAATTATGGAGGGTAGAGATTAAAGGAGAATCAACTGTGTATATAAAGTGTCCGTCGTAATTTGATTATGGTGGCGCCACATTAGCATCAAAGTACATTTTAAAAGAAGCGCCAAATATTATTAGAGTGAGTTTAGATATTTTTTCATAAAATGATTTTTTTATAAATAAATAATAGTACCATTTACAGTTTACAAAATAAAATAACTCTAGGTACACGTTTTCTTGTAATAATTCTTTAAGATTATATTAACTTCATTATTTTGTGCAACACAAGTTGTTGAAATTTTCAATAATTAGCTACTTTAGTCGAAATGATATAAATTTTTTTAACTTTGCCTTACTTCAGTTCATCTATAATTGGTATATTCATATCATCCTTTCTCTACACCAGAGCGATTGTGAAAGGTTTTTTAATTGTTATTTATAGCATACGACTGGACACTTTTTCAACTTTTCTCCCGTATGAGATGATTCTCCTTACCTCTACCCTCCATAGGCATAAAAAAGTTGTCAAATAAAAAAAACGCAATGAATTTATTTATTTATTTTGTTATGTTTTAATGCATTTACGGTGATTGTGGTGTGGTTGATTTATGATTTATTTGAGTTAAGATGTAAAATAAATTATTTAAGTACACAATAACAATGAGTGTTTCATTTTCCATTATATTTTCTCGATACAATTAAATAAAACAACGCAAATATAATCATTTGAGTATTATCGTAGATGAGCTAGGCAAGTAAGTATAGTCGGATTTTTAATTAGACGAAGCTAGCTGACAGTAGCTAATGTCACTTTGTGAAATAATGTTGCTATATTTAAAGTAATAGTGATGCGTTCAGTTCTCGTTCAATCACAAATGAACAATGTGTGAAGAGTTAATCATTAATTTCAAACTATAAAAGAGTATTATTTATATTTTACAATAAAATTGTATTAGAGTGCTCCAATATATGTTGCTAGTAGTATGTAACTACAATCAGCTTTTTTATTTTCATTACCTACCTATAATTGTTATATTTTATACATCTATAATTTCAACTATATGATGTATTGGAAATATGACAGTCTTACAAGCTTCCTCGCAGTGTTTTTCTTAATTAAAACACTCGGTATTCAGTACAGGTAGATACTATAGGAACATAATATTTCGTCGAAAACTCGTTGGTATGTACAAAGCACGCCTAAAATTCGAACCCCGTACCCGATATCGGCAATTCGGCACACCAACTGTTCACTAGACAATCGAGGCAATTTCATTAATTCAGGAGTTTTTTCAATCGTTCACTTTGTCACAACACTATTTTTATTTCATCAAAAACTGACAACACAGTAAACGTCAGTTGACTTCGTCTAATAAAAAATCCGACTATACACAGATACGAGCTACGCCGCCCGGTATTGCCGGGGCTTGTTGATGTCCCCGGGCACTACAGGCTGGTGGTGAGACAGTGAGCTCGTCCCGCAACAATCGCTACATAGAGTCGCGTGACGTCACAGCGCGTCGCAGTCTCCGTAGCGCTGTTCGCATTCCGCCGCGGTCCTCGCCCGGTGGTCCCAGTAGCGCGCGTTTTCCTTACTGTCCATTATGAAATAAATATTTTATTAAACAAATATAATATAAATTGTTTTTTTTTTTATTGTTAAGATGATGGTGGACGACCCCATGACCCACCTGGTATTAAGTGGTATCAATATTGTAAACACCACAACCTACCTTGACAAGAGGTCTAAAGTCACAGTTCAAACCGAAACGCATTACTGCTTTACGGCAGAATTAGGCAGGGCGGTAGTACCTACCCGTGCGGACTCACGATGTCCTACCGTTGATACAGCTGGTAGGGTAAATTGATTTATGTCAATGAAAATTGACTGATGTATATTATGCACGTGTATACTAACGTAATGTACATTGAATCAATTCATGTTATAAATAAGAAAAGGGTCGAAAGGGCTTAGTCAATTTACCTGAACGGTAAATCTTAAATAATTAATTTGACGTCGTTCATCGTCGTCACGTTAGAAATGCATCCTGCGGTCTGTGCGGCATATAGATAATACACATGTCTGCGAGCCGCATCCTCTACTGGATATAGTGGTATGTTAATTGTAACATTCAATTAACATGTATGAAAGATGAAGACCAATCAGAAGAAAGGAATTTTAATCGAACTAAGCAAAAAAAATGGCAAGCGCGGTCCGCCGGTCTGGGGCGTTAATTTGTTACCGGAGTCTATGTGCACTAGTAATACAATAACAACTATAACAAGTTTGGTAGTAAATACACGTACGTGCATACGTGTCGCTATAGATTTTACTTACTTTATGAAATATAATTCATAAGCTGCAAAGAAGTTTTGTCTGGATCTCGCGTGTAGTTTACACAGTGCAAGCTTCTCGCATTCGACTTCACTACAAAATAAACATGTTTCACAATAAATATAAAATACTTATTTAAATTAAAGTGTATATTATTGCCATCTATTATCGAGTAGCAAAACTATGATCCTGGTTTTTGGAGTAGTTTTTATAATTGTCGCTAGATGTCACTATTAAATACATAGATATTTAAAATGGGACAGCTTATTTTAAGTCAAACAATGTATGTAAAGAAACGAGCATGTTCTGGAACATTTTAGAAATTGAAAATAATGTTTCGTCATAAAGTTAGAACATCTATTATTTGAAAATAAAACTTTTTTCTTGATTTTTTAAAGTTCGTTGGTTGATTACAGTCCCGTAAATCTAATAAATATTCTTACAATGTATTCCTACCTAATTGATCTAAATATTTAAAGGTATGTGTATCCAGAGAGAGAAGAAACAAACTACCTAATTATAGAAGCTTAGTTAAGATTTAAATCCGCTTCATGCTCCTGGTATTGTCATTTATCTAGAATCGTCTTTAAAACAACTAAATACCGTATGTTGTGTCACGTTTTCGACTTTTTTTTTTTATGGCTTAGATGGACGGTCGAGCTCACAGCCCACCTGGTGTTAAGTGGTTACTGGAGCCCATAGACATCTACCACGTAAATGCGCCACCCACCTTGAGATATCTAAGGTCTCAAGTATAGTTACATCGGCTGCCCCACCCTTCAAACCGGAACGCATTACTGCTTCACGGCAGAAATAGGCAGGGTGTGGTACCTACCCGCGCGGACTCACAAGAGGTCCTACCACCAGTATGAAATTAGGATAGATTAGTGTTCCGAGACGCAAAAAGACTACCTAGTTACAAATTAATTCTTTCTAACTAGCATCTACTTAAACTATGATTATGTTGTTTTATTGAATATCTGCAGAACCTACCTTCNAACGCATTACTGCTTCACGGCAGAAATAGGCAGGGTGTGGTACCTACCCGCGCGGACTCACAAGAGGTCCTACCACCAGTATGAAATTAGGATAGATTAGTGTTCCGAGACGCAAAAAGACTACCTAGTTACAAATTAATTCTTTCTAACTAGCATCTACTTAAACTATGATTATGTTGTTTTATTGAATATCTGCAGAACCTACCTTCGTCTGGTCCTTAATTTTGGATTACCTAAATTATATGAGCCTCCCAAGTTAAACAGAGGGTTGATAAATCGTCTTTCAATGTCGTGGTGATTCGGAAGAGCTTCATTAAAAGTACCTGTGAATAAAAAAGATTTTTTATTAGCTAAGACGGGCCAAGAGACTTACATTTTAAAATTTGAACATATGTAACACGACGTGAATTGATACCGAGGTCCATCACGAGACATCAGCCGTGTTTACGTGTGTGGCAAAACGTATTTTAAAATTATTCATTATTTTTGTAATTTAGTGAAAAAATACGTGAGAATGAGGTGTTCGCTCCACGTCATTTTATATATAACTGTAGATATATTGAAACCCGCATTAAAAATATTATTAAGTCGATTATAATAAGTATTAGTAAAATAGACTCAACTTGCAGGAATTAAAATAAGCAACAATACGGGCAATACAGTTTCACTGAGTTTGTTACAGTTACAAAGGCGAAGAACCTTCTCGAAGATTCTACGAATCTGCGAGGAACGCCACGGATGGCGAAAATATGCTCGGGCTCGAATGATGACTGCAAACCGCGATCATGTCATGATGACACGATTAAGAAAGGGTGTTTGTCACTGCAGATGTGTTACACACACACCAGCCGGAAGTACTATCAGATTATGAGCAGATGATGTAACATGTAGAAGCGATGTCGGAGGAGGCAGGGTTGCTTTCTTACTTTTGTCAATGTGGTAATTTGGAAAAAAAGTTCTTGTATTGCATAATATAAGCATAAAATTTTATATTGATATTTTTGAGCTATCGTTTTTTCACGAAATTTTGATAAATAGCCATTTATTTATGGTTCAGGTTACGAATTTGGAATGCTATTACGACAAAGCTTAAATCACGTTACTTCTTAAAATTATTAAGCATTTAATATTGTTTTCAACCTACCTTTCTCGGTATCCTCAACTGGTTTGCAAAGCACTGCGCATGTCAAGCCAGCTAACACAATTAGAACGAAACCTGCCATTTTCAATAAATGTATTAATTCTAGTTTTTAAGTGCGCTGAAAATTTTCTATCTCAGTTTTATTTATGAAAAACATGTAAATCGACTGATCTGTTTTATACTAAACTATATCCCCCTCTAAATCCTTGTGCATTGACGTATTTCACACTAAATAATGATGTAAATCAATATTTTTATATGATCATAAAAGATTAACGGAGTCAATTTTGTACACAAGGAAAAGGGTCTTTCACTAGGGCTGCGAATTAGAGCGCCCATACAAAACAATTTACCACAATTTTTCGTTAATTCTGTCATCACCTATATATGTGATAATATGCGGGAAGGCTTAATTAAAAATTGGATATTTTATTTAAGCCTGGCCACAAATACTATTCACTTCACAATTCCAAAATCAATACCAACTTTAAGAAATTAAATTGTAAGCATGAGTTTACTGCACCTCATTGGCCAGGGGCAGGAACGATCTTTCGCAGTTCTGCAGTTTTTCAAATGAGATTTGAAGAGCACTTCGCTTCACCTACTATAGCGGAGGCTCGGCATTGGCATTATTGGCATTCCAGCTGTTTATGACTTAAGATCTCCAAGCTCGCATTCGGTGATATTAAAAAAATATATTGAAAACGTCGCGGCCTAAAAAGTAAGACGCCTGGTGTATTTGTATCGATATATGTACGTCCTTAACACATATTCACGAATGGCTTCCACAATCGTGTAATAAAAATGAAACGAGTAAAATTTATAATTTCCAAAATTAATGATGAAATTACACCCCATCCATTTTTGCCGAGAGGTAACATTTCTTTCCGGTTTGAAGGGTAGGATAGGCGTTACACTGTACAATTTAGACTTAGACCTCATGTATTAATGTGGGTAGCGGCATTCACATAATGATTTTATATAGATTCCGGTAACCACTTAAAGCCAGATCGGCTGTAAGATTCTTTATCCGTCTTTGAAATAAAAAGAAAATGGCTAGAAGAATTCCCTTAGTTTCCTTTTACGACACCTACGGGTGGATATGATGAAAATCAGCATAAATTCGTAATCCTACGATATCACTTCATTAATGACACATTTAGTACTTTCTACTTGTTTGCTTTTTTTATACGGAATAATACTATGAGGAAGTTATTCTAAAATACGTGTGAAGCGTGTACCAAAATGCTATTTAGAAAAAATATGTTCTAGGGTTTGCATCCCAACAATGTCGCATCACTAGAGCTGAGCTCACCGAGCGTTTGAGCAATTACAGTTATTGTTAGTACAGGATACATTACACAAAATGATATTGATTTTTTACTGACGCACAAGGCTATATGTGAATTTAAATCGGATAGCGCATCTTTTTGATCCATTCTAAGAACAATGAGTCAACCTTTCTTATAACTATTTAACATTATTGCTTACCGATGATTTTCTTATGTTACACATTTCGGATATGTAATAAAATCTGAATTGTCTTCGCAATTGATGTTGTCTTTTTTACTGTAATTACAAAGGAAATCACTTGTCGTTTCATGTTACGAGGATTTCATTTGCTTAATGAGTACATCATTATTTATATACGCGAATCGGTAAACATAGTCTGACAAAGTATAAGGAAATTCAATGTTAATAATTTCTTTAAACATGTAATCAAATACGAATTTTCGTTCATTGTATGTTCTTGGCCGAAGTAATATCGTTGTTTGACGCATTCATTGACGTGGCTCAGGGTCTAATGGGTACATCATTTGTTTGGTTCATTCTCACGATATTGTATCATAGTCATTGTGCTATTTATAAAGTAGTTTTTGTTGATTTGAAACATCTATAGCCGCACGTAAAACCGAATTCTGGCGTGGCGACGCGTCGCCATGCGCAATCGACTGTGCGATTCTCTCCCACTGGATCCGGCGTTAAGCCATCTCTCTCGCTACACTGAGCTCGGATACCTATAGTGTATACTCCGTAGTGTATACAGTCTTGTTTACTACAGTACACATAACCTGTGTTTTACTTGAAAACAAATTATTTTTTCGTAATATTTTATTTTATCATTATGACATATTTAGTTCCTATCACAATCTGTTCTTTTCTGTATATTACTTTTACAAAATAATGTCGATGTTTCACATCTGCCAGGCGTCCCGTGACGGCTCACATTTTTCCTAATAGGTGCCTATTCAGATTCAGATTTCGGATGTTTTTTAATTTACTGTATGCCGATGAGCAGTCGGCTAACCCCATGCTGAGTTGTTAGCTTCACTCATGGACGTCAGCAATGGTAAAAGCACAGACAAGCGTCGCTAACCACTTAAGGCTTTTCAACCTTGCCTGAAAAACAGCGTGGAAAGAAATGAATTCTAAAGCCACTTGTATCTAATTTACAAAAAAAACACATTGCGTTGTTTGACTACCGATTGTCTAATTAAAAAAAATTAAAAACATGCATGAAGTTGAAACANGTTAGCTTCACTCATGGACGTCAGCAATGGTAAAAGCACAGACAAGCGTCGCTAACCACTTAAGGCTTTTCAACCTTGCCTGAAAAACAGCGTGGAAAGAAATGAATTCTAAAGCCACTTGTATCTAATTTACAAAAAAAACACATTGCGTTGTTTGACTACCGATTGTCTAATTAAAAAAAATTAAAAACATGCATGAGGTTGAAACATCATTTGTGTTGTTTAATGTGTATCCCACTCTTCAAACCAGAGCACGTGATTGCTTATCAATAGAAACTGGCAGGGTGATGGTACCCACCCGTGCAAGCTCACAAAGCTGCCTGTCACTGTTACACTAATTCAGACTTGAAACTAAGATCTTAAGATGTGTGGTGTAGAATTCACGTTATAATCATTAATGGCTACAGCAAGAAATTAACACAATTTGAGTCGTCTAGGGCAATGAAAAAGGTAGGAAAATAAGAAGAAATACTCAATTACGGCCGTTGATGGGATATTCTAGTTTCACCCTAACTAAGGAGCGGGGTTCACAGGATGAGACGTTGCTAACATCTGCCCTGTCAAGACCTGTGGTTCCCTAAATTTCCCCCTCAAAGAGAAACTCAGTGGGTTGGGTCTGTTAAATTATTCGTCAAACACTCTCAAGAGAGCGTTTACCGGTGCTAGTAATACCCAAAAGCACTGAGTGTGGATCGGGAGGATCTGATATGACGTGCCCAGGGCGACGGTGGCCTTCTATGCGAAGGTCGCATAGAAGAATTAGAGAAACTCAATTTAAGCTTTTCCAATTCATGTCTGAGAAACCACATGGTGTCCGAAGATGCTCATAGCATGTTCTTGGCAGATGACAGAGAGTTTTTACCTAGAACGGTAAAATATAGTTGAACAAGCTCGATGACTAATAAATGCTTAATATGTTACTAGGTACCTACTTATTTATTTTATTTATCCGTTTATTCTTTTTTGATCAAATTTCATCTTCGATTTTAATTCAAATAGTTACGTTTAAAACTTATAATGTTCTATAAGACATGATTGCTTTTGAGTAAAATATTTCATCATCCATTATTTTCTTTGTTGCGCAACAAATTTAATAATAACGTTAAGTGATGTAGGTATTTAATTTACACACATTACATATTTGTTAATTTTAAAGTAGTAGCGATATCATAACCATTACTGTTATGGGTTATTAGAATAGTAACACAAATACAGAAAAGTGACTTATTCAAAATTATAGTCATAAAACTCATGAATATTATTTTCAATGCTTACAAACATTTTCAACTATTTGCTCAAAGATGGCAGCTCCATCGAATATTTATTTGAATATGAAAAAAATAAAAATCCTCTTCCTGTTTTCTATTTTAATAAAAAATAACAGACCACATTATGACATATTTTGTTTCTTTCTAAAATAAAACACTCAAGGGAAAAGTACTCAAAAATAAATTCACTCATTTTAAAACACGAGACCATCCTATCCGACATTAGATGTCACAGTTATCAATATTTTATTTTGCTCGGTAACTTACTCGAACATTCCGGAGTTTTCATGTGTTTTCTCGACAACAGATAGAGCTTGCGGCGCGTGTATAAAAGGGGCCGTTGCGCGCCGAATGTCACACATTTGAAAAGAAGTGTTCGTGAGATAAGGAAACGGCGCACAAAACAAATAAAACTAAAGTGATATACAAACTTGGCGATTGAACGAAATCGAAATGTCGCTTGTACCGTACTGGCTACGACACTTGAGGAATCTGGCGTACAGGGATCCGATTGCTAGAGCATTTGAAGATCCTTTCTCCGTCTTCTCCCGGGACCCTTTCTTCCGCGATCCGATTAAGTACATCAGGCAAGCCACCTCACCAATTGAAGACAGTCATGGCATCGAAGGGGTATATTCAGATTCAGAGATCAAAGTTGATGGCAAGAAAGTTGAAGTTCACCTGGATGTGCAGAATTTCACCCCAGAGCAAATTCAAGTGAAAACTGTTGGTAACGAAATTATGATAGAGGGCAAGAAAGAGATAAAGAGAGAAGACGGCTGGACGAGGAGTCACTTCGAGAGAAGGTTCCTTCTGCCTGAAGGTTTCCCGCCGGAACGAGTAGAGTGTCACCTGGACAAAGGGAAGCTGAAGCTTATCGCCTTTAGAGCTGAACCACTGCAGGAGAGGGCGGTGCCAATTCAGGAGAAATCTGTAAACAGTGAGCAAACAAAGTGAAGGATGAGTTTCAAATTATAAATTTACAAACGCGATTTTAATTTTTGCTGTACTTAGACTGATTAGGTTATATTTTGTTTTTCTTTTAAATAAATAAACTTGTAATATCAGAACGGTGTTGTTGTTGTTATTTATGTCTGACCATTAAACCATATCCGGAGATATCTAGTTGTTTGCTCAAGTGTTTAACGGCCTATAATCAGATTTAGAGTAAATAATTGGGAATAAATTACGCACAGACATCCGGTCCTAAATTAAGATTCCCTGTGTTGTGGGTACCAGAGACTGACATGCGTACTTATTGTTGACTGACAGCCATTATAACTATACTGAGATCTTTACAACTTATATCTCAAGGTGGGTGGCGCATTTACGTTGTAGATGTCTATGGGCTCAAGTAACCACTTAACACCAGGTGGGCTGTGAGCTCGTCCATCCATCTAAGCAATAAAATATATATACGTTTAAACGTATAGGTACATTTAGTAGTAGCATCCATATCTCAAGTTGTTCCTAATTCTGGTGTTAGTATCTATATTTTGTGTCTCGTAGTGTAGGCCACTTTGCAAGCACAATATCGCCTATTTTTGCCATGAAGCAGTAATTCTTTGTGTTCTTTTGGGTTTTAAGTGTTGGAGCCGTTATTCCATTGTCATTCTTATACCTCAGTGGGCGGCAGGACTCTTGGGATTATCTATTGACACTGCCGGGTGCCCACAGTAGGTAGGTACCATATAGCAGCTGCTTGCGGAAATGATTTTCATCGCGGGTATCATTAATGATGTACGCATAAACATATACTAAGTGCCAGGATCGATGGCATAGTGATGTTACCAGACGGGTCGTCTTACCTCTGAGGCTGCCCACGCAAGCTACATAGTGATAATTTTGTCAGCGCTCAACGTAAATTGTTATCGATTGGATACCGAAAATACTGGGATATTCTAGTCGGAAATAAATTCCGATATTTATCGAAACTGGGTTAGTAGTCGTTTCATTAGAAATGTAAATAATTTATCTATCAACTGTGATGTGGAGTAGATCGCTTGCGTCGCTACTGGGAGCATGGGTGGTCAATTCGGCGTTATAAATTCATAATCGTCAAGGACGTACTCGGGTTTTTATTTAGCGTAGACTGGGAGATTACTTCACCGCAAATTGAAGCTGTTGTTAGTATAACCGAGATCTTAGGTTCTTGATTAGTTAACATGGGTATGCGACCGTGCTATTCCTTCTTGTTACTTCTTTATCATTCGTCTGTACTAGCAACATAAATTGTTATTACCCTACCTAACTGGTGGTACGTTTTACTGGTAGTAGGACGTCTTGTGAGTCCGCACGGGTAGGTACCACCACCGTGCCTGTTTCTACCGTGAAGCAGGAATGCGTTTCGGTTTGAAGGCTGCCCTTGCAGCCGTTGTACTGTAAAAACGGAGACCTTAGAACTCCTATCTTGAGATGAGTGGCGGCATTTACGACGTAGATGTCTATGAGCTTCGATAATTGCGCCGTGAGCAAGTCCAAACATCTAAGTTCATCTAACCAATAAAAAAACTGCCTAATTCTGAACCTCTTAACTTAGTACCAAGCTTGCTTTACATTCTTGTTTATTTCTGACATAAAACCGGTAGGTATACGATTATTTTTATAATAATAAATTATTTCTTTCATTGTACATAACTTATCAACTGTGTTTATAATCTAATTTCATTATTTATATTATTTTATTTGCTATTTATTATTTGTGCGCCTAGTTAAAGTTCGATTGTTTTATCAAAGAAGTATAACTTATTTTTTTATTTACATATTTATTAAGCGGTTCACAATTTCACCTTTTTCTCAAAAAAGCCACTAAATACCACAGGGCTTTTTACACCACCATTAGTCGACTATTAGAGTCGACTATTAGAATGACCTAGGCATTAACTTGGCCATTGTACTCTTGTGCATAAAGTTGAATAAATACAATATACAAATAACCAACATAAGTTGATTTTCCTCTATCAAACTTCTTACCTCCTAGTCAATCTGTCGATGGCGACGAGCTCGGCAAGCATGTTAACCCTCTTATCGTGGACAACACTAATTAGATATCCGACCGAAGTGACGGAGCAAGGCAAAGTCGCTGTCGCCCAAAACATGTATTTTTGGATCCCCCGATCGACTCTCTATGCTTTAGGCTCTTCAAGCACCGGTCACCGTCGAACTCGATTACGACGAAGAGTTTGACGTGCGAACTGGCCCGTAGACATAGCCCACTGAGTTTCTCGGCGGATTTTCTCAGTGGGTTGCGATTCTGATCCGGTGGTACATTCTGCGATGACTGATCTTGCTAGAGCCAGTGTTAGCAATTCTCTCAGGTTGAGCTTATGAGCTCACCTATCAGCCCGTGCGAAGTTGGAATAGCCCCTTAGGCTACCAACGATTAGCTAGGGGAAAAATAAGAACAACATTTCGAACGTTTACTGGCCGACAGCAAATTTTAACAATTTCTTCTTCGATAAAAAATTTAATGAAAGCATATTTTTTAACTGTTAAACTTAGAAGATGTCTAACCATTAATGTATCCGATTTTAAATTGTTAATAGACAAGTATTTGTAATACGAATAGCATATAAACTATTTTTGTTTGGTGTTTGACTTAACTTCAATATATTAAGTAATGGAAAGTGCGGGGAAATAAAAGCAATATTATGTGCGTAGGAAAGCTCGCTGCGACTCATGTTCGGTATTATTTTGTACTCTTGAACCCTGAATTCAGACTTTCATTCGCAACGCGACTGTGGTGTGGTGCGGTGTACTTGTAGTAATGTTTATTTCGTTTTATAGTACAAAAAATATTACATATTGAAGAAACTGTAATTAAAATAAATGTTAAATAGTTATATACCTCATTTGTGATCGATTAGAAAGAAACAATAATTTAATTCATTTTTTTTTTCAATTTTATTTAAAGAAATCTATAACCGATTTGGTGTTGAATTTTGTTTTTAAACTAAAACCGGCTATTTAATACTATTTAATATTGTGGCAATGGCAGCTTCGGCAATTTATGAGACTGCACCTCTGGGTAAGTTTACTAAATGGCAAATATATTTAAGTAAGGTTTAATTAATTACGTTAATTTGTCGATTTCTTTGCGAAGCAGTAACGCTTTTCGGTTTGAAGAGTGGGGCAGTCGTTATACTGCACAATTGAGACCTGACCTCATGCCTCAAAGTGAATTGCCATTCACGTTGTGATGCCTATAGACTCCGGTAACCATTGATCATTAGGTGATCCGTGAGACGATCATTCGTCTATGCAAGCTATTGTTAACAAATATTACTAAATTAACAAATATGCTCTAAATAATAACAAATAATGACACAGTCGGCAACCCTGGGGCATGCAAAAGTAAATGGGGTGGCTTTATAAAATATTAAGTTCTGCTTTATCCAACAAATGAATTGTTACACAAACAATAATTTGTCCTATTGGTTATAATGTGACAGTATTATATATTTTCTTAAAATATACCCTTACAAACACAAAGATCGTATTAGTAATCTGAGTTAAATACCATGTTTTCTTAAGCTTTGAGTACTTTACTGTTCTATATCAGTGGAGGCATTGCAGGAATCCAACAGCTGATGTCCTTAAGTAGCTTGAGGATCCAACAAAAGAAGAACCTTTGCGTCGGCAGCGAGTATACCGTGCTGAATGAAAACGGCGAAGAGATCCTTTACGCGAAGGAAGATGCCGCGGTCCTGAGTACGCTGTTCAGCGGGAAGCATCGCTCCTTCAACATGCACATTGTGGATAGTCAAGAAAATATGGTTCGGTTCTTAGAGTTATCTTTTATTTTAATGCTTAGATGTGTGGACGAGCTTACAGCCCACCTGGTGTTAAGTGGTTACTGGATCACTTAGACATCTACGACGTAAATGCGCCACCCACCTTGAGATATAAGTTCTATGCTCTCAAGTATAGTTACAACGGCTGCCCTACCCTTCAAACCAAAACGCATTACTGCTTCACGGCAGAAATAGGCAGGGTGGTGGTACCTACCCGCGCGGACTCACTAGAGGCCCTACCACTAGTATCTCAGAACAGTGTTTCAGGCTTCGCAGCAAGATTATGTAAAACAGAACCCTTAGAATTTCGTGAGGTCATCTGTCGGTCGTGTATCCCGGACGTTTACTTGAAGTTTTTGGCTCCCCGCTTTAGATTTTACCGTTCTGTTACTGCGAAGAGCCCGTCGTGTATTCTCTTGATCTAATATCTTCGACCATGTGTTTAGATGTGTAGACTATGTGTCTTGTGTCATCTACAGGCTTTAAGAAAAATTTATTGTCAAGTGGCCGGTATGCTCATAAGCTGATCGAATAAAAGCTAACACAGAAAATAATTGTTAATAATTTTTAGGCGTGAATACATGGACGACGTGAATAGCCTCGAAAGGTTATTTGCTACAAATTCGAAATAGGGTTGCACGGCATTTATTCGCTCCACTACACCCCAACTTTATCAGTTGATTACATAAACGATAGTTTTACGACCCTGGAATGGCCATGACGGAAATATACCTAAAGCTGGTCAGTATTCGACCAAATTATTATCAAGGGAAAATATGAAATAAGATCTTACGAAAAAACGCTTTTCTTTCGTTTGAAAAAGAAATTACGGTGTTATTTGCATAATGTTATTTTGGTTCAAGTAGCCTTTTATTTTTGTTTTAAATTTAACACGTGAGAAATATTTATATTGCCCGCGTAGACAGACGAGCATACGGCCCACCTGATTGTGAGTGGTTACCGTCGCTAATGGACGTCAGGAATACCAGGGGCAGAGCCAAGCCGCTGCCTAAGTTACAGCTTCAAATGTAATTAGGTGATACGAAATGACCTCTAAGCTTTTGGTGTTCGTTGACACATCGTTTACAGAGAGAGGGCTCTGAATAAACGTACACGAGGGTGCGGCGGGTAATTTCGTGGAAATAAACTTATACACGGAATGGGTTGATTGTATACAAGTATAGATTATACCGAGAACGCGGAGATGTGTATCGATAATACGAAATGTTTGGCAAAAATTATTTTCAAATCAATTTATATTTAAAAAAAACAGAAATGTTTGGTAAACCTTTGGTTACGTAGATAATAATATTTGAAACGTAATATGTATCTTCATTATATGCGAATTTATTAAAAGATGTTTGCAATAAAAATGCCACAGCAGCCGTCGTGTAGCTTCAGACCAAAATTGTTCGATGATGATACCGGCATCTCGTTTTTACCATCGCACCGTCCGCTACCGGAATAGAGTTCATCCATACTACCCGGAGCCACTGCGGTCATCCACAGTGCGTTTCCAGAGGTCTTTTTTGCCACGTACCATCCGGCTATGTAATGAGCTCCCCTCCACGGTGTTTACCGAGCGCTATGACATGTCCTTCTTCAAACGAGGCTTGTGGAGAGTATTAAGCGGTATAGATTATAGATTTGTAGTTTAAGCGTAAAAGAAGGAGGTATCAATCTATGTGAAGGGGTTCACACTATACACAATAATTTATTACGACACTCTCATCATACTATCAATAATCTCATCTCTGTAAACAGCCTACATGTGCAAGGATGCGTAACTAGGCTTTACCACTGTGGCTTAAGTTATTTTATAGTCATTTGTAAATATTATCATATAAGTTCAATGGTGCTCAATATAGGTAGCTTGTTAAAAATATATTTGCTCATCATATTTCCAGGGGCATTTATTGCTGAGCAAAATAATTCACGACACATTCCGGGCCATTTATTCGGGCTATCACCTTACTTAGAAAGTTAAAGTTAAAGTATAGTTAGTAATTGTATATTATAATTTTTGCGTGTTTTTAACACCATGCTATTTCTTCACCGTGTAAGTAGACATGAGTATGTATTTCATTAGAAATATTGGTATTTGCATGCAGGACTTTTACACTAGTGCAGTCGCATCAGTCGCATCGCTCGATATGAGTACACCGAGCGTCTCATCCTTTAGGCAACGACGACTTTATTCAAAAGCGATGTCAATAAAGATCCTAACAAAAACATCCTGATATTTCAGTTGAAATATCGTCGGGCGTTCATGATATTACAAATAACATAAACCCTTCAGTTGCAGCAATAAAATTCTCGGAGTTGTTTGTTTATAAGATTTGCCGTTTCGAATCTAGTGATTTCACAGATGCCGCGTTTAATTGCAGACTAAAGGAATTGAACGCACTCTGGGAGTTGTCAAATAAACTAAGCAACTGTTTCTTGTCTGAGATTCTGTAGGGAATTTACACAGAGATAGTTTCATTATTAAAATGAGCTCATCTTAAGATTTAAGGTGATAAATTTTAATTTTTTTTTTTCCTATGCTGATAGCCTTGAGAGGCTATTTCAGCTTCGCCCTAACGTTTGTAGGTGAGCTCACGGGGCTCAACCGGAGAGTTGCTAACACTGACCCTAGCAAGAGCAGTGCTTCGCAGAGTCTACCACCGGATCGGAAACGCGACCTACTGAGAAGATCCGGCGAGAAACTCAGTGGGCTGTGTCTATGGGTTAGTTCGCTCGTCGAGCCCTTCGTCGCAAGCGACGGGTTCGACGAGGACGGTGACCGGAGGTGATAATAGAATACCTTTGACGTATGGGATATTTTAGTTTGCTTATTTTTCCATTGCCCTTATAGATAGACGAGCATGTGGTCCTCCTAACGGTTAGTGGATATCGTCGCGCATGGACCTCAGCAATGGCATACAAAACGCATTGTGCTGATACCACGTAATTGAGATAAGTCAGAAATAATAAAGAACAAAAAATACTTTTCTGGGCTTAGGTGATATTCCTTCGGCGGCCTCATACCTTGGGGCTGGACAAACTCGAGGTGAGAGTTGACAACGTCCTGGTCAGCATAGTGCGCCCTCAGCCGACATTCGTGAAGCCGGTGTTCAGCATCAACGACTCATCAGATAAACCGGTCCTTAGGGTCAAAGGCAAGCATTGTACCAGTGCAAATCACGAATATGAGGTAAGTGGTGAAGGAATAACATCGTTTAATAAAAATCAAACACGCAAAATTATAATTTGTGTAATTACTGGTGGTAGGACCTCTTGTGAGTCCGCGCGGGTAAGTATGTACCACCGCCCTGCCTATTTCTGCCGTGAAGCAGTAATGCGTTTCGGTTTGAAGGGTGGGGCAGCCGTTGTAACTATACTTGAGACCTTAGAACTTATAACTCGGGGTGGGTGGCGCATTTACGTTGTAGATGTCTATGGGCTCCAATAGCCACTTAACACCAGGTGGGATGTGAGCTCGTCAATCAAAGCAATAAAAAAAAAGTGGCACGATATTATTTGAGATTTATTATAAAGCAAGTCAAAGTTGATTCACTGACCGATGTTTGATTAGATTGCTATCGAACTTCGCGGAAGCACCCGCTAGGCCCGTTAGAAGATTCCCTCAATATTTTATCGAAATCGGGGCAGCCGCTTCGAGGTCTATAGGGAACGTGCATCTTTTTGACATCATACTTTTATTTCAAAGAATTAAGAAGTTTAATGATACTGATCGTTTATCTCTTATTATAACTTAATATTAGCGGGACCAACATTTGTTAGCCTGCCCAGATGTTGTTATCCCGTCTAATAAAACATCTTCGTATCTTTTGAACGCCACCAAAAGGTGGTGTTCAAAATATAGGGTCCAAAGGTGAATCCAAACTATCCAGGGAACCACAAATACACAGAAAAACTAAGCAAAATCCGTCGCACAGAAACCGACTTAGGTTACGTTGTGCTGCCCAAGATGTTGACATTAGGGATGTGGAGACGCATTTTAACATTAACGAACCGCGTTTTTAAGACGCTTTTATTAGCTGCTATGTACCTATAGCTACATGTAGCGGAGTCTTTTGTACGTAATTTTCACCCATTTCAAAGTGTCGAATATAATTGAAATTTCGCATGCTGATAAAGGACCGATGGCAATACATAATTTAATAAAATTGACGCGTTAATCTGCTCAGGATATTCAGGATTAACGATGGTCTGGACGATTCAAATACGGTAGTATTTTATGTCACCTACTGCGGTGTGTATGCGCCTGCCTTCTTCCTTGGATATCTTATCAGCTTCTCAGACTCTTACTTCGAAATCGAACCCTAATTCCCCGTAAAAACCCTGTAGTCACTTACCATCAGATAGAAGAACTAGATTGCTCAAAGTTGACAGGGGGAGTCCTATGCAACTAAATATATTACAGAATAAATCATAGAACGACCTAATAACTTGTTATCACATAATGATAAATGATAAGAAGCTGATTCTTGTTTACTATGAAATTGTCAACATTAAAGACTAAAAAAGTAAAAATAAATCGATCATAAATCCAAAAAACAAAATTACAGGCTTTTGTAGCTTTTTTTTTTTTTTTTTCGGGTAGAGGGCCGAACCTCCTACGAGGTCCCCGCGCAAAAGGGGCGCGCGGGGTATGTGAGACTCAACGATCTGCATGGTGTTGTGAGCAGACCGCGGGCCCAAGGATTTTAGAGCCCACCCACTAAACGACTCCCCTGCACTCTTACACCCGACGTCCGATCTCCGTCCGGAGTCAGAACCCGTTCAGAGTAGGGGGGTTCCCGCGGTCAACACTACAACCAGACACGCGGCGCCACCCCGAGGACGCCCGACCGACGGGTCGTCGAGGCGATAGTCGACGACCAACGACGTCGGTCTCCGCGGTACGGCGGCCCTACCAGNATTGGCGCGTAACCGCAACGATGCAACGCAATAACTGCAACACGGTCTTCTTTAAGCGTCCACTCCATATTTAAAAATGAGTAAAATTCTAAAAGTATACATTTTTATTTTCATGAACAATTCGAAATTCGAATTCAATAAACTTTTTTGTGGCCAGCATTCTAAAAGAAAAGTTTTTACTGTGTGACAATACTTATGATGACTAGGTATGTACCACCGCCCTGCCTATTTCTGCCGTGAAGCAGTAATGCGTTTCGGTTTGAAGGGTGGGGCAGCCGTTGTAAATATACTTGAGACCTTAGAACTTATAACTCGGGGTGGGTGGCGCATTTACGTTGTAGATGTCTATGGGCTCCAATAGCCACTTAACACCAGGTGGGATGTGAGCTCGTCAATCAAAGCAATAAAAAAAAAGTGGCACGATATTATTTGAGATTTATTATAAAGCAAGTCAAAGTTGATTCACTGACCGATGTTTGATTAGATTGCTATCGAACTTCGCTGAAGCATCCGCTAGGCTCGTAAGAAGATTCCCTCAATATTTTATCGAAATCGGGGCAGCCGCTTCGAGGTCTATAGGGAACGTGCATCTTTTTGACATCATACTTTTATTTCAAAGAATTAAGAAGTTTAATGATACTGATCGTTTATCTCTTATTATTACTTAATATTAGCGGGACCAACATTTGTTAGCCTGCCCAGATGTTGTTATCCCGTCTAATAAAACATCTTCGTATCTTTTGAACGCCACCAAAAGGTGGTGGTCAAAATATAGGGTCCAAAGGTGAATCCAAACTATCCAGGGAACCACAAATACACAGAAAAACTAAGCAAAATCCGTCGCACAGAAACCGACTTAGGTTACGTTGTGCTGCCCAAGATGTTGACATTAGGGATGTGGAGACGCATTTTAACATTAAGAAACCGCGTTTTTAAGACGCTTTTATTAGCTGCTATGTACCTATAGCTACATGTAGCGGAGTCTTTTGTACGTAATTTTCACCCATTTCAAAGTGTCGGATATAATTGAAATTTCGCATGCTGATAAAGGACCGATGGCAATACATAATTTAATAAAATTGACGCGTTAATCTGCTCAGGATATTCAGGATTAACGATGGTCTGGACGATTCAAATACGGTAGTATTTTATGTCACCTACTGCGGTGTGTATGCGCCTGCCTTCTTCCTTGGATATCTTATCAGCTTCTCAGACTCTTACTTCGAAATCGAACCCTAATTCCCCGTAAAAACCCTGTAGTCACTTACCATCAGATAGAAGAACTAGATTGCTCAAAGTTGACAGGGGGAGTCCTATGCAACTAAATATATTACAGAATAAATCATAGAACGACCTAATAACTTGTTATCACATAATGATAAGTAATAAGAAGCTCTTTCTTGTTTACTATGAAATTGTCATCGTTAAAGACTAAAAAAGTAAAAATAAATCGATCATAAATCCAAATAACAAAATTACAGGCTTTTGTAGCTAACTTAATTAAAAAGTAGAAAATAATTTGCTATAAAATATAGTAAAGAAAATAAATAATTCTTTTCGAATTCACAGTTCATTTACGGTTATTTGGTTACTGGAGTCCGTAAAGCACATCAGAGTACCGACTCCCCCCCACTTGAGACGAAAATGGAAATCTCAGTTCATCAAACATAGTACAGCAGTCGTTCGAACTTTGACTAAAGACCCAACTTAGGAAAACTTTGCCGTCAAGGCTATAATTAAACTTTAAAATTTTGCCAATCATTATACAGTACAGTAGCTGATGTGCGCTGCAAAAAAGCGCATGGCACATAAATGGAATATTTCTCTCTGTTTCAGGTGTTAGCGGTCAACAAAGAACGCATCGGTGGTATCAAGAAGCACGGAGCCGGCGTCGTGACCGAAATATGCACTAGTCATTATTACCTCCAGTTCCCGGCCGACTTACATGTCGATTACAAAGCTGCTTTACTCGCCACTTGCTTCTTGATCGTAAGTCGATCCTTCCATAGATTAAAACAAAAAATGGTGCGCATGCAACTTGGTGCACGTGAAAGAAGTGAAACTTCTTTTGCCGGTGTGCACATTTTTCATCCTTTAATCAAATTTCTCTTGTAATATGGAATGCTGTGTTTAAGAGAAACAACCTAGCTCACTTTGTCCTTTCCCTCTCTCTACGGTCGAGTGGTTCGCGAGACACTCTGTATATTTTCTCACTCTCGCTTTTCCTAAACTGTATCTTTTCTCTCTAGCCGTAACGAATCTGTCGCGAGTAAAATTTTAGTCTCAACGAGCCTAAAGAAGTTTCACTTCAGTTGACAGATGTAAAAACTGACAGCTCTCTTTTTTTTTTTTTAAACGTTTTTGGTGGATAATTTCATTTATATGCACGATCGCGTTAACGTTTGTGCCTACTTCTGTCTCGTTATACATATCTTTGTTGAAGAATCAATTCCATTGTAATAACGACCTAAGCCATTAAGATAATTAGAGTTCCCTGATAAAATTATAAACAAGTATTATTTTATTTCAGGAATACATGTTCTTCGAAAAATGAAGCAATTGTTTTATCAAAACATGGACACAGGACCTATTATCAAATCTGATTAATGCGCTTTTTAACAGTAACTGTAGCTAAAATTGATGTTTCATTTTCATGCAATTCTGAGACTTGAATAGTGATAATAAAAATATAGTACAGTCGATTTCTCCTTCTTTTTTTGGGACGAAAGAGTCGCGCTTGGTCCAGAGACTCTAAGGTGTTTAGCCAATACGGAAGGGCAAACTCAAGGATGTATCCTGGAAGGAACTTTTCCCTATTCTGTAGACGGAAACCTGCAAATTTCCTTTGGGTCAAATATTCTACATTCAACAGCTTAAAGATTTAGTCCCCAGATAAATTAAATATGTTTAACAAAGACCTAGGCGTTCCAACCAACAATCGAATACCGAGCCTGTGGCCAGTAGCCATAAGAATAACGAGATAATGCGGATATAAGAGACGTTTTCGTCAGCAAGTATAAATGTACAAAACAATGTTGTCTAAATTAATTGTAGGCATAGTAATTTATTAGATACCCTTATTGTTTAATACCTAAGGTTTTCTAATTTGTAATAGTAATAAATGATGGATGGATCGTTTAGGATAATAATACTTATTTAAAGGTTCCCCGGTCATCGTTCTCTTCGATCGCTTCGAGTCTTCTTAGTGGGTTGCGTTTCTGATCCGGTGGTAGATTCTACGAAGCACTGCTCTTGCTAGGGTCAGTGTTAACAACTTCGCCAGGTTTGAACCCCGTGAGCTCACCTACTCGTTCGGTAACGCTGTTATAGCCTCTCAAGGCTATCAGCATAATAAAAATGTTCCTAGATACTTATATATTTATATGTCAACAAGTTTACAGTGTACCTGATATTACAAGGATTCAGGGCCTTTACACTCTCCTTATGTTTGAAATGATCGTAGGTACTTTAAAATTATAAAAACTGCTGGAGGGTACATACTCGTGATTGTACTTACTCTCTATTGGCCAAGAGATGGTTCCTGCTTTCACTGAGTACGGGTGGAACGATACGGCTGGATCAAATGACGAACAATATTTCAGATCATAGATAATACTGGTGAAGCACTTAAGGGTAGGGCAGCCGTTGTAACTATACTGAGATCTTAAGATGGGTGGCGCACTTACTTTGTAGATGTCTATGGGCTCCAGTAACCACTTAACACCAGGTGGGCTGTGAGATCGTCCACCCATCTAAGCAATAAAAAAATTTTTTTTTAAAAATTTAATTGCATCTTGATAATATTGAGTACAGCGCCATCTATAAATTGCTACCCGCACTAATATTGTATTTCAACTCTGGCTATTGGTGCTGATACCTTTGATGGAACTTTACATATTATGTTCGCTGGAAATTTATAGATGACTCTACAGGCAGTCTTTCATAGAATAAAACTATTGTGGAATTGCTTTTCAAATTCAAATTCAAAATCATTTATTTCAACTTAGATGTCAGTATAACACACTTGTTGAATGTCAAAATATAAATAACAATGTTAACTCTACCACCGGTTCCAAAAAAAGCCACAGTCCTGAGAAGAACCGGCGAAACAAACTCAGCGGGATTTTTTTTTTGTTTTTTCTCAAATATTTTCTATTTTTTTTAAAATAAGTAACAATATTTGCAATAAAGGAAAAAACAAGTCAAAAAATACAATTACAAAATAATAATAATAATGAAAAATGAAAAGGCGCGAACGTCTCATTCCCATGTACGTCCCTTCTAGTCATGGAGTTAATAAGTACCTACAATCTAAGCTTCTATTAGATAATCCTTAGCTTTATAATATGCCTTGTTGCACAAACGTTCCTTGACAGTTTTCTTAAATCTATGAACAGGTAGTAATTGAATGTTTTGTGGGATCTTGTTGAAAAGTTGTACACCCAGCCCCCTAAAAGAGTTGCTTATTTTCTTAATTCGAGCCGCCGGCAACGCAAGCCTATGTTTGTTCCTAGTGTTCACATTATGCAATATTTAATATCACATAGTTCACAGTAAAAACATTCAATTTCTTGGAACTTTTCAAAATAAATTACGCAGCGGCATTTTAAGCCAAGTTTTTTTATTGCCTTTGCAGACATATGAGCAAGCGGCCCTCCTTATCGCCAGGGGCACAGCCAAGCAGTTGTCATCACCAAACAACCTATTTTAGTGTATCTTTTCGGTTTTGGAATAACTTCCCTCTTCGGTGTTTCCTGTGCCATGTCTTTATTTAAACGAGATTTGTGGACAGTGCTCAATGGTAGGCAGCGGCTTGGCTACACTTCTGGCATTACTGACGTCCATGAACAACGGTGGCCACTCGATGGGCCGTATACTCGTATTTTTATATTAGCTATAATAAGAAGAAAAAAAGTCTTTAAAATTGTAAAGAAACATAATTATTGGCGTGTCTTTCTGTGTTAATGTACAAGTGAAGCGTCAGTGGTTTAAAGGACAAGATCGTAGGAGTACACTAATCCAGTGATGCGACCATGCAAGTGTTCAAATCCCGTAGTACAGTATCATTTTTTTTTCAAAGAAAGGGCACATTTCGGTGGGCAGCAGTGTGTCTACCGTTCCGTACTTTCCGCCCCTATCTAATTGCTATCAGCCTACGGAACTATTTCAGCTACTCACAGACTGGTATCACGGTTACCATGGGCCATGGAGTGGTTGTCGTGTCGCGCCACTTTTTCAAAATAGTGTTCTGACGCTTCCTTAAGATACTAACGTATCGGTTTTAAATTTGAGTTGTCGTGAAAATCTACATTCCTCATGTACCACGGTGCTCCGATGGCTATCCTGCAGAAACAGGATTGAATGGTCAGGGTGCTTAGTGTTAGTTTTTAACGTTCTCGATAGCGTAAAAGTGAACTCAAATTTGTATTATTTTTTCCTGCCTAAGCTGATAGCCTTAAGGGGCTATTTCAGCGTAACCTTAGCTAGTAGGTGAGCTCACGGGGCTCAAACCGGAGTGATGCTAACACTGACTCTAGCAAGGGCAGTGCTTCGCAGAATCTAGCACCGGATCGGAAACGCGACCGACTGAGAAGATCCGGCGAGAAACTCAGTGGGCTGTGTCTGTGGGTTAATTCGCTCGTCGAGCCCTTCGTCGGGTTCGACGAGGACGGTGACCGGTGTTTGTGGTACCTAAAAGGATCGGGAGGATCCGTAATGACGTGTCAAATTTGTATGGAGTTGGAACAGTTCCCCTAGCGGCAAACGTAGGCAAACGTTCCAATTCCATACAAATTTGAGTTAACTTTTACGCTATCGAGAACGTTAAAAAACTCGCACTAAGCACACTGGAGAGAGTTAATGCGTGCACGGGCTATGTGAGCGAACGTATACAAGTTTTGTGGAGTGTCACCTTGTTACGAAGGGACAATTTACTTCGCATATAAATGATGGGGTAGTACCGTACTGTATAAACATACATACATTGCAGATGTCTATTAGCGACAGTGACCACTGAGCATCACTATCTGCTTGATCAGGTAATAAAATGTAATTATGGCGGCTGGCGTTGATGAAATCGAGACGAATTACTATTATGTGACTGACAGTATTAGCTGATGAAGAGAGTCTAATCTACGAACTAGGGGCAGACTTTAAACAAAAACATAATATTAAAAGATAAAATTTCCAATATTATCATTTTAATCATTTTAGCTGTAGAATCCTCAGAGTTTTCTTGATCTACTCTGCAGAGCTAAACTAACGGTAATAAGCTGAAAGCGTAAAAAGCTTGTGCTTATCGGGGTCGAACTTAATCAGTCAAAGCTCTGAAGTACGGACCAGATTAATATTTCCCGACTCCGAAACTAATCAGGGAAGGAAAATTATTAAAGAAAATGTCACTTTCATTTCTTTAGAAATGTATGAGGTTATGGTGCATCTATTAATACATATTATAATTAGGATGCATTCACTCGGAGTTCAAGCGTATTACGTTCGGTTTCTGAAACTTAAGTTCTAACGCTCGAGCTGGCGTAAGTAATAATGCGCGTTCAGTTTTTGTGCAATATATAGGTATGTAGGTACGTCATGCGAATGCATTTATGGTAAGCGGCCTGAAGGCGGGGCTACTGCAAATGATGTCTTTAACTTTATACAAATGTGGATAAGATTTTCACAAAATATATGTTATAGTGTTCGCTCTACACCTTAAATGATATTATGTATTTTACTGCATCGAAAAATCCTGATCCTCAGTCTAAACTGCTTTGAAATATCATTTTACAGCAGCCATGAAATACCATTTTAAAACTATTCAAACCATATTTTGATTTGGAAGTGAATGGAATATTTTATGTAATATATTTATAAAATATTATATGTGGTGATGTATTGAATACAAATAATATGTGCAATAGTAAAAATATTTGTGTGATATATCGAAAATGTAGCCGTGTGTAACTACCGACTTTACAAAAATACAATCCCACAGCAGCTAACGTCCGGTGATTGAGTCGTGGAGTGTCGAATCTGGTAGTCCTACCTTCATATTATAGTAAGGTACCCAATCATTGAGCTCTCTTTTGTCAGCTTAATGTAGCAATTATCATCAGGGACATACTAGCCGGCAGGAGTTTTTAGTGAGGTTCAACTCCCACATACCCCACCCGGTGCGCTGATCCGGCGATTTTCTCCAGTGGAAAAAAAATCTTTTAAAAAATCATGGACCAACTTAAGCTATTATTTAAAAAATCGTAAAAACATACAGGCTTTAGAAATGTTCACCGTTTTATGAGGTATCGAAATTGACACTAAATATCGTATCAAGTGTAAGGCTCAGTGAGCACAAAGCGGGATAGTGTTATGCTCCGACGGAAAAAAAGGCATAAAAATGGTATTTATTTAGCGAGCGTTATTATTTACGAGCGGCAGGCGTGGGAACGACCTGATTTTAATATCAGATGGTGATATTCACCCTTACTTGAACGTGATTTGTTTTGGAAGTGGTATTTTACGATTATTTACTTTTCATCACTTTTAATATTATAATCTACTAGCGACCCGCCTTCGCTTCGCTTCGGAAACTGTAATTTATTATTGATTTCTCCACTATTTAATGGATGTTATTATACATATAAACGTTCCTCTTCAATCACTCT